TTGCGAAACAAACCAGCTGAGACGTAGAAGGACTCTATGTCCGCAGCTGGAGGAGCCCCCGGCGCGGTGTCGGGGTGGCCCTGCCGCAGGACCCGCGGGGCCGACGGGGAACGCACCCGCTTGCCGGGGCTTGGGAAGCCGCTGGATTACCAGGCTTTTGAACGGCGCTGAGGTTACGGTGCATACATCATCTATTCCTCAGCTCGAATACCCTTTTAAAGAGAGTATTGTATGGTTGTGCTAATCCTGTGACTGTGGCTTCAGCACAGACAAAGTAGCTGAAGGAAGAATTTATCAAATAGTTAAGTGTTTAGCTTTGAGGGAGCTGTTGCTGAATAACAAAAAGGATTATGGCAAGGACTAAAAAGGGAGTAAAGTAGAAGTAAAGCATGATCCGTTCTCAGAAACAAAAAATACACTCCTGTTTATAAACACTATTAATGTTGAGTTAAATTTCAGCTTAATACTACTTTAGGGAGCTTTGAGTTAGTTTTGTAGTCCTGAGCGGGTATAGATAAACAACTAAAAATCTGCTGGGCATTCACACAGTTTGGTCTTTACGAAGATCAGTAAACAAATATTAATTTCTTTTTGGACATAGAAACCTGAATTGTAAAGACTGTTTTATAGGTGATCAGGGTAAAACCAACTTTAATTCTTAGTAAAATCTTGATAATTCTTAGTAATATTCTAGTTGATTCTTAGTAATATCTTGATAAAAACACATGACTCAGAGGAAATGAAAATTCCATTTCCACTGACTCAGGGGACTCTGGGCAATTAACTTTCTCCCTGTGTGCCTGCCTTTAAAACAGGGTTAATGTAAGGTGTGCGTTGCAGGATGCGAGGGCAGAGGCAGGAAATGCAGCATGAATGAAGGCAGCAGGAGCTGTGAGTATGATTTACTGTCTGTAAAATACCTGAGGCTTTCAGAGGCAAGAAACTTCACAAATACGGAGTTCCAGTATGACTGTTGGGGTTTATAAGTTATAAGCAAATGTTGTATTTAGTTGGGATTGAAATTCTGAATTCTTGATTTGCAGCGTCTTACTGACACCAAAGATGAGACTTTAATGTGTCTCCTGAGAGAGATGTTTTGTATACAAATTCAGGTTATGACTTGACCAAAAAAAAAAAAAAAGTCTGATGGAAGTAAAGCTCTTCAAATATAGGTGTGTTGTCAGTTTGAGGAGACCTTTCCAGTGTTCTAGGCTGAAAACAAAAGCTTTTCTTCACAAAGCCAATAAAAAAAATCTTGTCTGGCAACCATTTCGTCAGATCACATAGAGTAAAATTTCAAGTTACTGTTTATTGAAAAGACTGTCAGGAAATGCTCAAAGAAAGGCAGTCTGCTTTCCCCCTCCCCGTTCTTCCCAAAACAGGGAAGTGGTGGTGTTTCTGGAGGTGGAAGACTGAATGTGTCACACGGCTCTGCAGCGGGGGGAAACGGCGCGGGCTGTAGTCTCGCCTGGCAGCAGCTCTGCTCATTCAGGAAATTCCCCCCACATCGGGATAAAACAACTCTCTGCATGACAGAGCTCCAGAATAAATCGGTAACTGGCATATAGCTTGATCTGAAAATTGGGACACGGTTTTGACATAGTAGGCTTATTAAAAATTTGGAAAGAATTGGGGATGCATGTATGACTTAATGACTTCGACCTGCAGGAGCCGAGGAAAGCTGCTGCATGCCTCGGAATGAAGTCTGCCTCTGAAGTGCACCCCTTAAAATGAAAGGCACTTGATTCTTCACAAAGAGCTGTTTAAAACATTTCACGTGTGTTTTTCCTTCCCCAAGATGAAGAAAGGGGCCTACAAATAAAGCACATTTTTTATTTCAGATTGTTTTAAATTTTTATTAATAACTTTCATTTTAATATTTTGGGGACACATCTGCTGCTGTCCTGGAGATGCTGCTTCTCCAGTGTTGCTGGCTACAAATGACCTAAAGTTGTTGTTTTTGTTTGTGGTTTTTTTTTTAAAAAAAAAAAAAAAGGTGTCATAGCAGCATCGCTGTTTTACAACACAGGCAAAAGTGCCTTATACAAAGTGACAGTATTTTGCAGAGCAATAACTGATCCTGTTACTTAGTCATGTCCAGAATCTCGCCCAAAGTGAGAACTGGCAGTGATGCTGAACGACTGGTTTGCTTTCTGGAAAATAGCTTTCCCATAGAATTTCTGGGAGAATTTTACAGAAGAAAAAAACTGACTTTGTAACTTGGTGCAAGACTTGCTCACAGTGTAAAATTTGGCTTCGTGGTTTGACAGTTTTATTTGAATTGTTTCACCAAGGTCACTTTTCTTTCTCCCTGTGAAATTCATTGCTGACAGATGGGCACATCTCCAGGAGACTTAGAACAATCTCTAACAGCCGTGAATTCAGCACACAAAGGAGTACTGAAGTGGCCTCACTTGTGTTTTGGGTAGAGCATAACAAGAATTAAAAATAGAAATTAATGATGGTGAATTTGTTTTTATTTTGAATTAGGCTTTGTTCTCATCTGACTTGATTATTAGTTTAATTTACTGGATAAATTATTTGGTCTTGCCTAACATGGACTTAGAAGTCTCTGAACGTCACGTATTGATCTTTTCTGAACTCTCATGCTCCCACCGTCCCTCCTTATTTTAGATGTATCGGACTAGATCGAATTTCTGCTACTCTCTTCTCCTTATAGACGCATTTATTTTTCAGTTGGCCAACTGAAAGAATAATCCCCTTTCTTTGTGTTTGAGCAAAGAATCAAACTGGTCTTTAATGTCTTTAGCCCCTTTCTGCAGTTGCTAGAGCAGACTTCTCTGAAAAGGCACGTGCACGGGAGGAAATCTTTGCTCCGTTTTCCCTAAAACGCCACTGGAAGCGGGGAGGGTTTTCTGGTAACGCACAGCGAGAGACTTCCTTCTTGAAGGGGAATTGTTACGAGTGTCAGATGTTACTGAATGTTGGAGCTTGTTTGGGGGGAAGAAGAAATGTTTGTTCCATTTGAACTTGTTTTACCTGGCACGAACATTGCTGTTGGAATTCAGCTCAAGTACAGTGCCGCTGCTCCTGTGGGCCTGATGTTTTTCAAGGAAATCATAGGCCTAAAAATAGTCTGCATAAACAACAGTAAGAGGTTTGTACTTTCAGTTCCAGGTTTTAGCAATATCTTGTTGTTATTTTCTAATTGTCAGTTTCCAAAATCCATTAAGCTGATTAGCAGAGTGTTTAAAAACAAAACAGAACAAAAACCAAAACCAAAAATCCACCTCCTGTGGAACCTTCCGTGAAATGTCGGGCTGTGGTGGAGGCAGTACCCAGGGCCGGCTCGTTGTGGTAATCGCCTTTATACCCCTGTGAACGTGTTCTGCTCTGAACATTTTTCAGGCACCCTCTGACTTGTGAAATTGCCATATGATTCTGAAACTGTGGTCTTAGGGGAGAATGTAATGTGGAAACACTCCTACTAGTTGGAATTCATGATTGTTGTACGTATTTAACATGCTCTGTGTGCTGAATTAAAAGCTTTTACTTCTTTGGCTTTGGATTAAAAAAAGAAAAATAAAATTGCTTCACAACCTGGAAGGGATGAGGAAAAAATCCAGCTTGCAAGTTGCGGAACACAATTTGTCATCAAATTTATCCTTCTATATCTGTCTCCACATCACCTTTCATGATGGAAATTGAGCTTTACGCCTTTTCCGTGGTTTTAGTAGCATGTTTATTAAGATACATTTTAATGTGTTTAAAACTCCGTAATTGAGACTAAACAAAAATTACTTTCCATTTGTCTCTGAAGCAAGGTGGCCATCTAGTTCCTGGTGAAAAGGGCGTTACACTGAAGCTGCTGTTAAAACGTGGTTATTTTTCCTCCTTCCCTGCTTTTGTTGGCTGTTTGGGGTCGGTTGGGACGCAGGGGACGGACCCTCCCTGAGCTTCACGGGGGTTTGGTTCCGATTTGTGCATCTGGGACGCGGCTTTTCCCTTTCCCCCCCCCTTAAATGGGTGCCTGTGACCGTTGTTAATGCACTTTCAGCATCTCTACCCGTGCGTAGGGATCGGAAGGGAAAACAGCTTTTCTTTGTCATTTCTGCTTCATAAAGGATTCATGCACAGGAATTTTGAAGGAAACTTCAAGTGTGTTGGTTTTAAGACACTTGATTCATATTGATGTTAGGGGTAAAGTTAACTGTAGCAGCATTGCTAGCTCTCCTAAGTATCAGTAATGGTAGTAATAATGCTGAAATGGCCGTGCCGGAGCCGGGCAGCCCGGCGGGGCCACGACCAGCAGCAAGCTGCAGCACCCCGAGCTGGAGCCGCCCCGCAGTGAGCCCATTGACAGATCGATTCCTTGAGAGTTTTGCTTTCAGTTGAAGCGAAGGATAATTAGAAGGTTACAGTTAATTGATAAAAACATTTTAAAGACTTCAGGATATCCTCTTTAGGTAATGCCTAATGAATTTGAATAAAACACATCTTATTTTACTTTTTTTGGCCTACTACTGATACTTCAGATGCTTCTCCAGAAAGCAAACTGAAAAACTGGTACCAACAATTGGAAAAAAAAAAAATCAGTATTCCCTCTCATTTAACTGAATTTGTAATGAAATTGGTTTGGGGATTTCATTTATTTAAACAAATTATAGGGACAATACATTTTTTAAAATACTTTACTTTCAGGAAAATTACACGTAAGCAATTTATTTGAGTCATTGCTTACTGTTAGTAGCAGATTGTATGGTACAATTTATATGAATAAATTACCCAAACGAAGGGCCCAGTCTGTTTGTGGGCGGCAGGGCTGGAGTGGATGACCAGAGCTGGTGGACGGAGCTCTGGGTTTGGCCCTCTGCCGGGCGGTGCGGGGAAGCGCTGCCCCTACACACGGGCTCAGCCTTCTCTCAATGGGGGCGTTAAAATCCAACAAATCCCATCTGGGAACCCCTCAGTCACTAAAGCGCCAAAAACTTTGTCTAATCGGAGAATGAAAACTTACTCTCTTTCCTTCCTCTCCCCAGCTTTCTAGACAAGATTGACATAGTCAAACAAAACGAGTACACACCGTCTGACCAGGTAAGGAAAGGCCCATTAAGAAATTATACCATTTATCTGCCCCCTCTGTCTTTGAGGATAATTGTCGTTAATTTTCTAACTGCCGTTTGTGACATTAATACAGGTATTACAATGTACCTACTTAGTATTCCACTAAAAATTACTTTGTCATTTGAATTGAGATGATGTTTGTCCATGTAAATGTACTGTGAAATGAAACTCCGCTGAGGTTCAAGTCTACATCATGTTTCTGTGACACTGAAACTCAACTCTCCGTTTGAATGGGTACCGTGTGATGTTTTGCCCGCCTTGCTGAATAACCATCACACACTTTCTTTGACACAAAGCTGGTTGGTACCTCCTCAGCCTCACTGGCTTCCACTGCCAACCAGGTTTTGTAAAAATAACCTTGTTAGAAGTTTGGGGTTTTTTTTTCTTAATCAGAATAGGAATTGTAGTTTTCATTTTGTTAGAATAATCTGAGGATCCTTTTAGGACCAAATGCTTCATCCAAAATCACATGTAAATTCCTAACTTTCTGCCCATAAATAATGCACTTAAGCATCTAGCATACTTTTGCAGGATAAATAACCAAAAAACATATTAATGTACCCAAACTTTTGCTGTCAGTGTTGATGAGGAGAGAGAGAGAGCAGTTCATATCCTTTAACGTTGTTCAAGAATTAATCATTCATCCTTTTAAAAATCTGAGGTTTTTTATAAATGAGGGGTTTTATTACTGAAATCATTCTATTGTCAAGAAACAAAATATTAAAAAGTACAAGTTACTATATTCAAAATTTGGAGCAACTAATCTTCAGATATGAAACTTTAAAACAAGTTTCAGTTTTATATTGGAGGCCAAGGGCGTCAGGAGGCGGTTTAACTTGAATTTCTTACACTTCATAGACAGTACTTACAATTTACTTACAGTAATTACTTAAGTAAGGTATTTCAGTAGTTACTTAAGCAAAATAATTACATACTTTTACTGCTGTAAGTGACTGTGAGCACAAGTACTTGCAGTGCTTGTTTGGGACCATGGACTGTGCCGCATCTCCCCACAAGCATCCTGTAGAGCCCAGTGGGATTATCCTCTGGGATGTTACGTGTTTCTCCTAAAAGAACTCCCAAAGGCAACGCAATAATCAAATCACTTCTTCCCACCCCCGCCCCCTGAGGTGGGTGACTGCTTTTTTTTGTTTGTTTTTAACATCCTAGTTGTACTGATTTCTAGAGACGCAGAGCTCCCAACAGTCCAGTTTTCCAAATTTCCTTCTGTTTATTGGAGTGTTCGAAAATTCAAACTGTTTCAAATATAACTTAAAGTAATGTTTAAATACATACGTCTTTCAATATGAGTATTAAAATAGACAGACAACAATAATTTACTATCAGAAAACTGATGTTAAACTGTAGCTATTTTGTTTAATGATTTAACAGTGTTGTCTAACCTTTGGATTTTGTGTGGTTTTGACTTTGACTAACCAGTTTGGTACCTACGTAGTAAGAACAGAGCTTTTATTGTGCATATAATTTTTTTTTTTTACAGTCTGTTCTGCTAATGTGATGATGTCTGCTGCAAATGTTACAATTTATCTGCTATTTAGACCCATTGTGAAGAACACCAAAACTTTAAGTCCTAAATTATAAAACCTTTAGTTGAATCCAAAGTGGTATTTTGCAGATAGTTATATTGGACTGTGTCCTCAGTCTGCAGCCTGTGCAAATGAGGTTCTCGTGGCTGAGTTACCCACGAGGCACTGTATGTGGCTGCCACTGCTTTGCAATACACAGAACGTAAAAGCCAATACAGTTTGGTTTTAATAGGATTTTGTAGCACTTATAACAATTTCAATTGTTTGTAGCTCACAACTTCTGATTATCATTTTTGTCTCTACGGGAAATTTCAAATTTTATCTTTGAAAAGCCCAATTCTTGTAAGACTTAAGTGGTTGAGCTCCCAGTTCTTTGAAGGAAAAAGTGGAAACTTTTGAGACCTAGACATTTCTTTTAATAGCCAAGCACTGAGCGGTTGGGGGAGGGGTCAGTCTGCGGGGGTTGGGAATTCTGTGGTGGTAGTTTAAAGATCCTGTTGTGTGCCACAACCCCACTGAAGTCTGTGAGTGCATCATCCGATCTCGTGGGGTGGGTCTGGGCTGCTCCCAGCACTTGTGTTTGCTCGAAGTGGCCCGAATGTGTTTCCTCCTGCTCCAAGCTTAGCGCTCACTACCTGCTCGGGAACATATATGTACTTCAGAAGTTGAGCACACCCATACGAGTGCAGACGTGTTCAAGATCAAAACTGTAGACGCGGGTTCATAGCGCGCTGTTCCCTGTTCCTGCAGTGCGGTGTACACTGTCGGCACTGGGTACAAGGTGTTCATTTCCGTTGCTGGATACGTGGAGAATTGGGAAGTATCTGTGTTGAATCAATGACTTTTCTGTTATGCTCTAGGATCTTCTCAGATGCAGAGTTTTGACATCAGGAATTTTTGAAACCAAGTTTCAGGTGGATAAAGTAAATTTTCAGTAAGTATGCTTGGTTTTTCCTCATTTGTTTTTTTTTTTTTAAATACAATGCTGAGGTTTAGTCTGCTCTTGTTGATTTTAGATCTGTGATACTTGTTTCACTAACTGACTTCTTGTAGGATCTGTTTTAATGTCTTAGCTTGTAAGGGTGAAAACCAATCTGCAATGTACGTACACCAGAATTTCTTACCTTCGAGTGTAGGTGTTAGTGAAAGTAAACACAACTACATTTTGTGATGAAAGCTCTGTGTGCATATGTTGGTAGACTGGTACCTGTTCAGGTTCCCATAATCCTCAGCTCCTTTTAGCTTTTATGACACAGAATTCCTAAAATTTCTTATATTTTCTGTTTGCATTCAGGGGAAAAAAAAAAAAAAAACAAACCACAAAATGTATTCTGACTCCATTTCTGGTTTTTTCTTAGTATGTTTGATGTTGGAGGGCAACGAGATGAACGCCGAAAATGGATCCAGTGTTTTAATGGTATGATTAGAATCTATGTTTGTTTTATAAAATAGTTGTCTGCAAAATTTTAATGCCCAGTCTTCATTTTCTCACTGTGTGAAAGCCATCTTCTTTTCTGTGTAGCTTGATAAGGAATTATCTGAATAGTCATACAGGATGGAATTTTTCTTGACGTGTCAACTTCTGTAACTGCATAGAATATCTTTAGGGAGAATGCAGGTGGAAAGGAATTCAAGTTTGATAACTTAACATAGCTTGTTGTCCATTTTCTGTGGCTTCCCTCTCTTCATTTAATTATGGTTTTTTGGTGGTGGGTTCACACACTATTTCCCAGCTGTGTGAGCATTAAGTTCCAAGCTATATTCTGTCTTCTGAGTGAAGGTTTACGTGTTTTTACCCACACAAAATATACAATTACAGGATAATTAATATATGCATAAAACCAGAATATCATATTTTTGCACATAATTGCAGCCACATTGCTATGTCATGGGTGCTTCTTTCCAAATCAGCACCAACCTGTTAATGCAGGATGAGCTCGTAGGGAACATCTGTCTTGTTAGAGGTGGTGTCGCATACGCTGTGTAATGCACTACAGCATTGTGTAGTGTAGCCCCAAAATGCCCTTCTCAAAAAACTTTACGATGGAGTTTATAAATCTGCATGTTTCTAGGGAACCATGCTTAATACAGTTTCTTGAAAAACAACCCTGTGGGGAAGGCCCTTACTGAAAACGTACAAACCAGTCCCCTCGAGAACAGAACCTGCGCATAAGCTGGGTTCCTCAGAGTGCGTGGGAGCCCGGCCTCGGTACGGGAAGACCTGAAACCTCTGCGGGCGTTTTGTAAGGTCTGGAGTCTTAACACTGATGTCCCCATCCGTTTAGTTCCGTGATTATGTTCTTAACTCCCATGCAAATTAAATGAGGTAGTTTTGTGTGTGTCCTGAAGTGTTGCATGTACCTTTCCTACAGCTGTTTATTTTACTCTGTAGCTCTGTTTAGATGTGAAACCTTTCTGCACTCAAGTTTTTTTAAAGCTACAGTTGGTGAAAATACTTTTGTCTTTTTCTTTGTTGTTTAGACAAAATATATATGAAGCTATGCAAAAGTGTGCCTTTTCTTAGAAAAGTTATAATGAGATCCTACAGAATAGCTAAAGCAGAATGCAATTTACAATTCATCGTATTTTGCTACGGTTACTGTCACAGAGCAACACCTGAACAATTCATATATGTGTGGAACTACGTTGCAATATTTTCTGCTGCGCTATTAATAACAGATTTGTTTGGGTTTTACCTCTGCTCCTTCCTGTCACCTCATGGTCTGACTCATCTCTGCTGCTGCTGCTGTCGAGAGGTAGATGAGGCTGGAAGTCAGTGTCAGGGCTGTGGAGCAGCACAGCCCCGCGGGGACACGGACATCTGGACGGAGATGGCGGCCTCTGGGCAGTGCAGTGGCTGTGGGAGGACAGAGCGGTTAACCATGAATTCACAGCAATCTGCTGCCGTTGTTACTGCTATTCATGCACATCAAAAGTGCTGTGTGTCTTCAGGTCTTCCCCCAAGGGCCTCTCTGTCCTTTCTTGATAGCTCAGAGTTGCTTTCTAAATTTCTTTACACCTTTTAAATTTTCTTTACATTCTCCTCCGAGCTTTCTCCACTCTACGTTTTCTGTCTTTCTGTCAGCTTCTGCTCTGTCGCCGCCATTCCTATCTGTAATGGCTGCTTCACTTTCGGGTTTTTATGTCTGGCACCTAGAAAGCCGTCAGCAATAGCATTCCAGCCTGTTCTCCTCAGGAAGCTGAAAGGCAGCTTTTCATTGAACTTCGGGATTCCTGGATATTTCTTCTGAAGTTTGGCATTAACTGATGGGTATTTCTTGATTTAGATGTGACTGCTATCATATTTGTGGTGGCGAGCAGTAGCTACAACATGGTTATACGAGAGGACAATCAGACCAATCGGCTTCAAGAAGCACTAAACCTCTTCAAGAGTATCTGGAACAACAGGTCTGTGAATTGAAGTTTCATTGTTCATACATAAATTAGTAATCTTCTTGTACACGATAGTCGAGACTCGTGTGCTGGGCCTGGCTCTGGCTAGGACAGAGTTCATTTTCCTCATAGCACCTCATACAGTGCCATCTTTTAGATTTGGACTGAAACAATACTGCTAACACTCGTGGGTCTGACGTGCTTGTGTGGCTGACACACTCGCGGCTGTTGTAGCTGGTGCTGAGCAGTGTCTGCAGAGCATCGCAGCTTCTCTGTTTCCCGCTGTGCCTCCAGTGAGTGGGCTGGGGGTGCGCAGTGGGCTGGGAGAGGACACAGCCGGGCGGCCGACCCAAACTAACCAAAGCGGTATTCCGTACCACGTAGGGTCGTGCTCAGCGCTGAAAGGGAAAAGAAAGGGGGGGGTTAGAAGGCTTAGCCATCTTGCTGGGTATTGGTCTACCCATGGGAGTGGTGAGCCTTTGCATCACTTGTTTTGTTTTGTTCTCTCTTTCACTCAGCCCACTCAGCCTTCACTTATTAAACTTTTTTTTTTTTTTAACCTTGACCCCCAAATTTTCTTGCTTTTAATTCTTCCTTTCCTCTTCCCCCATCCCACCGAGGGGGAACGTGAGCAAGCAGCTGGGTGCTCCGCTGCGCGCTGGGGTTAACCCGCAGGAGCAGCCTGCGCTGTGGGGTTTGCTTCTCTCGGCGCAGTCCCAGCCCCTCTGGCCATGGCTGCCTGCTGCGCGAGTGCCTCATCCACTCCTCTGGCTGAAGAAAGCTCCGGAGAGTTACAGATTGGTAGTTGCCATATTGAGGCTGAAGTAATTAAAGCAGCGATGGAGTAGCACACTGGAGCATGGACGTGCTCACCTATTTGACGTATCTGGATTAGCAGTAGAAAGTGGGCAACTTTGATTGCCCACGCTAGAAGCACTCAAACGGAACTCGGGGGTGTATGCCCGGAATCACACCATGGGGTTCAGGAATAAAAGGAACCTTGCAGAATTATTCTGATGTGTCATACGACTGTTGTCTCCAGAACTGGATGAAGTTCCTTTTTGCTGTCTCATCCTAGCTGTGCCTTCTCCTTTTCTACAGGTGGCTACGGACCATTTCAGTAATTCTTTTCCTGAATAAACAAGATTTGCTAGCAGAGAAAGTTTTGGCAGGGAAATCTAAAATTGAAGACTACTTTCCAGAATTTGCTCGCTACACTACACCAGATGATGGTAAGATTTTGAAGTTTTATTAGCAATTTATCATTTCCTTGTTAATTACCTTTGTAATGGTTTTGGTAATTTCAGGTAAGATTTAAAAACTCTTAAGTAGATGTAATCTTCATTGTCTTTCAGCCAAACTGTAATGTTACATTTTAGGTATTAATAATGAGAGAACCCTGTCTGTTACACATTTAATATATTAATAATTTCATCATGCCAAAATCCTGTTACTTTGCTGGTGTAGACTACAGCACACTTGTGACAAATGCGTCCTCTGGCCTCCCCCTTGTCATACCTGTGGTCATTTCTCTGACCTGCCAAATGCCCGGTCCTGTGGCCACTGTAGTACTCCTTTGTTCTCCTGAAATCTTACCATTTTAAATCATATGTTATGGTTTGTTTTATCTCATAGTCAGTTTTGCAAAGTATGTTTCTGTCATATGTGAGCAGAAAACAGAACTAATTATGATTTTTAGGCACTATCACCAAAACCACCTGTTTTAATGAGATAATTTTATCATTAATCAGCAACACCAGAGCCTGGTGAGGATCCCAGAGTTACAAGGGCCAAGTATTTTATTAGAGACGAGTTTCTTGTAAGTATTGCCTTTCTTTCAGTATTTCTTACGTGATTCTTCTCAAATATAAGCTCTTACGCACCTTATACTATTGCAAAAGGCTGTCACTTTTTCTGTTGTTTATATTTAACGTCCACACTGCACAGAGCACGTTTAAGAGCTTTGCTGCTGTTCGTTAGCTGCTCTTTGGATATTTGTCTGTTGACACAGTACATAAAAAAAGAATTGTTG